ATTATAAAACCCAAAATACTTTAATGGCGAATTTTACAAACTGGGAGAGTGGCTCTACCATCTGTATGAATTTCATTTGAATTGGTTCACATGCACCCGAGAACCAGACTCGTTTATTTTTACTTCCTGAGAGTAAATTTTTTGGTCAAAGCATAGACCTCAGGCCGACGTGATCAAGTGCGGTTACCATGGCAACGACACACCTGCCGATCCAAATATAGCTGTTTTTGTTCATCCCCCCAGGCAACCTACCTCCACACAAAAATTGAAGGTTGGTTAAAAATTTTCATTTCCAACTTTGCTTCACTTCCCTGGAGAATTGCTCTTAAACACATTTGAAGCAAAGAAAGGTCGAGAGACTGAAAAGAAAACGGCTAATGTACGAATGTCACAAACCGTAGGAGTCGAGTAGGCCCGTCATTTTATACTGGAGAGACCATGAGAATGCATGCAGAAGCTTTTGAAATTTTCTCCTTCACTCCCACGAGTACATGTATTTGATAGATGGGTTGCAAGGACATCCTGTCCACTGACTAGACTCTAAAGGCAGCTCCTTGCTCCGGTTTTGGATCGATGTGATTATTGCCGTTTTGCGAAAGATCATTCAACGTTTCCTCAACAGAAAATTCGAACGCTTCTTCGGACTCGGCCGTATGTATTTTGATCATGTCTAGTTCCGGATGTCGGATTATGCATGAATGTCAAATTTCTGATGTCACTTTTTGACTGACGGGCTTCTAACCAATGAAACTGCACTATTGCTACCCGTTCGTGGGCGAACAAAGTTCGGTAAAATGTTTGGCTGGAGGCGATTCCTTTTATCCCCCATCCCTTCGTCACCCCAAGAGTTTGCTCACCCCACGGGCGCTCCTTCGCTCGCCCGGAAAGGAAACGGCTGCTACGCAAGCTATCATGTGCCTTATTTTTTTGGATTTCGCGCGGTCTCCGGAAGTATTCTCCCTTAGGAATTCTAAATTGACATTAAATACAGCACAACTATATACATATTTATCTTCTTCTAGATAACAAATGTGACGAAATTATCCCGGACCAACGAGAAGATTGTGGCTATTATGGGATAGGACGAGAAGAATGCGAGAACGAGCGGGGCTGTTGTTTTGATGAGACAGTACCCGACGTGCCTTGGTGCTTCAAGGGTAGTGAAAAACCCACCGAGGAGCCAACCGAGGGATCTAATGAAGAACCAGATGAATCTTCCGCCTGAGGTGACTTTATAATTCTGCTATATTTATCAGTTTTTTACTTGATGATGATCTTCTTGCTGTACGTTCACTGTGGTCTTACTTCAACTTCTTCTACCTCCAACGAACCGTCTAACTCTGAATTGAAGGCTAAGAAATGAACTCGTAGGTCAGACAATCAAACGAAACTTGGTTTTCATAGACAAGTTATGGGTATCACTCTAAGTATGGATAAAAATATATAAATAAAAAAGCATGCGCCACGGCTAAATATTACTTGGGGAAATTTGTGTACAGCGTACCAACAATTACGATGTCGTTATGTCATATTGTCATCATAGTTAAGATTCGATAGAACTGAAAAGGAAATAGCAGCAAAAGAAAACATGAAAAACAATTTAAAACATCGCGAGGTTGGGAATTAGAAACTAGTCGCGGAATGTCAGTTACAAGTTTATCAACATTTACTCTGCTTTTTACAAACGGGCGAAGTTCGTTACGTTCATACCCAGCTCTCTTGGGAAAGTGAGCTGATTTACCTCCAGGTTAAAACGAGCAGCACATATTTCCTGGTGAGGTTAAGTAATTTTGTAGCATTTTTTTCTTTTTAATTTTCTTTTACAGGGTCGTTCCTGATGCAGTTGCACAAAAAGAATGTCATGCAAAAGGATATAGGAAACCGATCATCGCCATTTTCTTCATTTTTTCCTTCTTTTTGTGTAACAGAGTCAGAACTGCTGAATAAAGATTCATCAATCATATC